GCATTGCTATCATCTATTCCAATAACAACCTCTGCTGTACTTTCTAAACTGAGCTCTGACGATTACCTTTCCTCCACAACCACTGCAGTGCAGTTTCCTCACTAAGATCTCTATCAATGTTTGTCCTTATCTTCTGGGCACTTATACACAACAAGGACAAAGATCCTCGTGTAGCCTTAACAGACTGATGGAGAAAGTGCTTGAAGCGACCACCTCCGAACGCCAACACAGCGCACGAGGTGAGTGGCGAGCACCACGCCCGACCACCTTTGTCTTCTCATTTGAGATTTTTATACACAGCTCCAGGTACTCATTTGAGGCTGAGTCGACCTAGGGGAGGCCTAGGACTGGTTCAGATAATCGTCACTGGTATTGGTAGACGTGAGTGGGAATTGAACTCGGGTCACCAGATTCTAAGTGCAGTGTGTTAACCACTGCGCCACTGCTCCCCACAATGTATACATAGCACACGTGCAGAGAGTGGCACACACAGACACACGGACGCACAGGCACAAACACAAAGACACAGCCATAAAAACACACATACACAAGGACCCACCTGATCGAGGGAGCATCTCTGTGTCATAGTGTAACCCTGAGGCAGGACGTTCTCAAACATGACCTGCATCTTGTGGTGGCACTGCCACACGAGGTCATGGCACCCTGCAAGGAACAAAGAAGAAAGCGATGTGTGGTGCGCTCCCAGTGGAAAGAGCTGCATTGATATAAACGATGATTACACGTTGGTGATTATTCTTATCGTTAGGCTGGTGTAGCCTGCAAGAAAGCCTGGCTGAGTCACAAGGCACTGTCTTCATGAGGATCTTAACAAGTTACCGTAGTAGAGGGTAATGTTGCTGCTTAGTGTGGTCCCAATTAAGTGATTTGCAGGTATTTTTTTTCAGGATTGTTATATTTTGGTCAATACCAATTACACATGGGAGGAAACTTGAGAACCCGGAAGATGTCCATGCAGAACAGGGGAAGAGAATACAGTCACCCACGCTTCTACTGCAGCAGCAGCAGCGACATGCACTCATTACACACAGAGTGCTTGCCACAAATGAACCACAATACATTGCTGATCTCGTCAAGGAGCATAAATCACCACACAAACTTCGTTCATCCGCTTATTGAACAAAGACGGTCACCGCATCGCGCGATTTAGATGCATGGTCTTGTTTAACTGACAAGCAAAGACTTTGCCTTTGTTTCATGAAAATATTACCTTTGGCATGGAGGGCGAGGTCCGTGTCTGATTCCTCTGGATGTCGTCTTTCGCTCTCTGCTCCTTCTAGAGTGCTCCATCTGAGTGCTCGTGGTGTCCTGTTGTCTCGCCTCGAGTGGACGTAGCGTCGTCTCTTCTTCGAGTTCCACCGCGCACGATTCCACTCGGCTGGAGGGATGATGACAAACTGTTAAACTAAACAATTTTTTTTTATTTTATTTTACCAGATAAGGGCCAGAATTGACCTGGCTATCACAAATTATAACTCATGAAGTGGCTATGACGTAGAAAATCCAGCAGCCAAATACTCTAATCGCATGATGGTTCTAAATAAGGAGAGAAAGGAATAGACGCAGACCTCCACATAAGCAACAGGCATCATCAGGGTTGGGATCGAAGCCACGACCTCCTGCATACCAGGCGAGTGGTAATTAACATCTCACCACCACGGCGCCTCAGTTATGAGCACAACCAGAATCACATTCTATACGTTGAGGCAAGACTCATCATTGAGAAAAATGTTGTGTCGTGAACCCTCCTCCACCCGACATAGCCAATCAATAACAAGAATCTGTATTTATACTGCAGGAGGAATCCGATGAGCAATTAATCTTTTTCACAGATGTTCAGTAGGGGCATGGGGTCAGAAAGTTACAGCAAAAAATATATAAAAAACGATATGAGTGCCAGGTATAGGAAAGTAAGCAAATTACTAAAAAATCAAGAAATTTAAATAAAGCATATGAGTGCAAATTGTATAAGTACATGAGTTACTGCCGATTGTTCAATACTAAATGCAAGCTTGGGGCAAGGCAACAAAACAACAACAGTCCCAAACCACACCAAGATAACACACAGTCCCTCAATAACATTACACAAACATTGAACTATCAATACACGAGAGGTAAGGATCAAAGTAAAAAGCATGGCTACAGGAGCTGATTGAGGTGGTGGTACCTTGAAATGTCATCCTCCTGACTCATCGCCGCATATTCCTTCGGATAGACGCTGATCCTCCACTGGAAGCAGTCCCAATCGAGTGGCAGCACACAGCATTTCGCATCATTGCAACGATGCTTGCTTTTCTTCTTCTGCTAGGTGGGGGGGGGATGGGCATTGTGTGGTAGGGTCCTTCAACGATATCAATCCAGCAGGAATTGCAAACAAACTGGAAGGTAGCTGCAGCTGATCGGTGAACCAGCGGCAATAACTGTCAGACCTCTGAGGTCCTCTATGTATGAAGGTTTTATTGGGCACTCATTGTGTCTACTAATAAGAAGAAATCAGAGCACCATGGTGAAAACAAAAAATTGCGAGGGAGAAACATTCCGTCCAATACAGATAGAACAGAGAGCGTCCACAATTGTATTACTGCATTCTCCTGGCAAGCCAGGGTACGACTTCCTCCTCGACATCCACAACATACATCTGAACCAGTCCTTGGCCTCCCCTAGATTGACTTAGCCTCAAAAATGAGTACCTAATGCGGTGGTTAGTTAACATTTCCACAAGGGAGACAAAGGCGGCCCGCGTGGTGCTGGCCACCCACCTCCGTGTGTGCCATTCCAGCCTTCACTGGTGCTTCTCCCTAACAGCACTTGCCCGAACAGTCGGTTCAAGGCTACACGGGGGATTTTTCTCTTGGGAAGGGTGGGGGACATATGTTACACTTCTTTCGCAGTGTACGTAGCTAATCGTGCTAATAGGAGGTGCGGGACAGAGCAACAGAGGAGAATGGAGCAACTCTCCAAATAGCTATACTCTTTCGTTCTTTCGGTAAAGTCACGTAGGTATAAAATGAAATAAATCACGACGTTTCGATCACAACACAAGCGGTCGTCCTCAGGCGGAAAAAATATAATCCAGCAATGGAACTGCTGAACCAGCGAGAGAGCAGTTACAACAAGGTTATATATGCGGTATTACCTTGTTGTCCCGGCATCTCTTGAGCAAGGTTAGCAATTTTTCTGCCTGAGGACGGACGCTTGTGTTTTTGATCGAAATGTCGTGATTTATTTTATTTTATACCTACGTGACTTTACCGAAAGAATCAAAGAGTATGGATTCCTCCAGTCACGAAAGCTTAAAATCAAGATTGAACCGTCTCTACGGGGAGGGTTTTCCACACATCTGTTAGAGCTGTGAACAGACTGCAAGACAAGAAGGCTCACCTGATCGAGTCGCTCACCTTTCTCAAGAGATACCGCTATAATAAGGTAATACCGCATATATAACCTTGTTGTAACTGCTCTCTCGCTGATTCAGCAGTTCCACTGCTGGATTATATTTTTCTGCCTGAGGACGACCAGCTTGTGTTGCGATCGAAACGTCGTGATTTATACATTTATACCTACGTGACTTTACCGAAAGAACCAAGAGTATGGATTCCTCCAGTCACGAAAGCTTCACTCCAAATAGCGTTGGAAACAAAAACAACGACGGGAATAACGATAACAAGCAAAGTAACTCACCTCTTTTGGGGTGGGCTCAGAAGGTGCCTTGGTCTCGCGCGTGCCCCACGATACGTTATACATGTTGACCAGCGAGTAGATGAGCAGCAGTAGGTATCCCGTGGGGATGCAGATAAAATACATGAAGCCATGCACGATGCAGAAGAACTCGCGTGGGTGCAGCACCGCGGTGATGAGGTAGATGCCCGCAAGTGTGATGAAGAAGATGCCGCTGGGCGTGAGGATGCCGTTCTTGATGAGGTCGCCGATCAAAGCGAGCAGCGTGCCCGTCATGAGAAACATGTAGACCACGGTGAGTACCATGGCCACCTTAAACAAAAAAAAATGTATTTACTTTACCAGTGTAAGGTCCACTGAGGTATACAGCTCTTTTCAAAAGCCACCTGGCCCAAATGATAGCTCAATGAAGTGGCTTATCACGTGGAAATGTATAGCAGCAGCCAAAAACTCGAAACGCAGATTAAACGTGCAGGGAAGACAGAAGAACACACAGACTCCAAATATACAACAGGCGTTAGGGTCGGGAATAAACCCACGACCTCCTGTATACCAGACGAGGGAGTTAACATCTCGCCATCGCAGCAGCGCTGCAGGACGATGGAGGAGACATTAGCCATCGGCATCACCATCGTCCTCTGTGTACAATCACCACCACTTATTGGAAGTTGCTTTGTATTTCGATTTAAAGCTTTCGTGACTGCAGGGATTCATCTTCTTGGTTCTTTCGATAAAGTCACGTAGAAGGGAAGTAATAAAATAATAAAAATAAAACATAGTAAAATAATTCTCACAACGTTTCGGCCACAACGCAAGCAGCCGTCCTCAGGTGAAGAATGAAACACCACCAAGCTTGAGCGTATATTTAAGCTGGGATGGAGGGGGGAGGTGGGAAGAAGAGCGCCTAGACAAAATAATTTGCATATCAAGAGGAATTTAGCATATGAAAATGCGTAGGAGGTGGGCGGGGGGGTTTCAATTTAATATTATGCCCGTGCATTATGCAGGATTAGCAGCATCAAAGGGAGGGGGAAGGGGGGTAGCATTAACAAAGGAAAGGAATGTTAATAGTATGTAGCTGCAATTGCTAAACAACCACGTAAAAAAACTAAAGTATAAACTACATAAACAACTAAAGTATAAACTACATAGCATCATCAGTATACTTACTATACTCTACAATAAGCTGAGTTACTAACAGTAAGTAATACATTACAATTCTACGTCGTAAAAATTATATAATATGCTTCCATCTAAACTTTGTTCTCTTACATCACACGAGTTTACACCGTACTATATACTGCCATAGACAAACCCAACATTAAATTAGATACTGTATTGATATAAACCACCCTATACCTTATACATTTCGTCTCTAAAACCAAGCAAATCATTTCTGATTCAACTGCATTAATTGATCAGACCAAACAGTTCTCGTTGAAACCTTCTGCAGCCAGGCCACCAAGATTATACGGCTTGCCAAAGATACATAAAGAAGATACACCTCTTCGTCCCATTGTCTCTACTATCAACTCCCCCACCTAAAAATTGGCTCGTTTTTTGTCTGAAATCCTACGGCCTTTCACTGGAAAAACCACCTCTGCGGTACTAAACTCTACTGACCTGGTATCGACAATCAAGGGGATTGCCCTGTCCCCAGACGACCTGCTTGTCAGTTTTGATGTGGTTTCCTTAATCACCAAAGTTCCTGTACCTGACACCATCGCAATCATTGAAGACTTGGTTCATCAAGGACTGAATGCTGGGGTACCCCCCCTGGTGAGACACTGCTTAACCGAAACATACTTCACCTGGAATGGAACTTTCTACAAGCAAACTGAGGGCACCCCAATGGGCTCCCCCTATCTCCGGTTGTAGCCAACATCTTCAAGAATAAATTTGATACTGACGCCATCCAGACTGCCACTCTACGCCCGACCTTATGGAAGAGGTACGTAGACGACACTTTTGTCATCTGGCCACATGGCCGGCCTGCTCTAGACCAATTTCTCGACCACATCAATTCCATACACCCAGCCATCAGATTCACCATGGAAGTCGAAAAAGATGGCAAGCTACCCTTTTTGGATGTCCTAATTAAAAGAAGACCTGATGGTTCAATGAGCCACTCTCTCTACAGGAAAGCCACCCATACGGATGCTTACCTAAAACCGGATTCCCACCACCATCCATCCCAGAAGAATTCCCTCATCAAGACTCCATACCATAGAGCCCAATGCATCTCCGACCAGGAACACATTGCCTGTGAACTCATACACGTACGCCAAGCTCTTAAGGCTAATGGTTACTCCGACTACACAACCTGCAAAGCCATCACTCCAACCATCAAGAAGGATCCTGTTGAGGAGCTTTTCAAGACCATCACCTTACCCTACATTGCTGGGGTCACAAAAAATATCTCCAAAATCCTGATTAAACACAAGATCCAGGTCCGATTCAACACAGTACATAAAATCCATGATCTGGTCATAAAAGATGTGGTTCCAGACATACAGTACCCTGGCGTCTACAAACTAAGTTGCCTCTGTGGTAGCAGTTACATTGGAGAAACCAAACGACATGTCTCGGACCGCATCCGTGAACATAAAGCAGACCTGAAACACGGTAGGACAAACACCTCAGCCGTGGCAGACTACTGTTACAACTCAGTGGGCTCACATGACATTGACTTCTCCAAGACAGAGGTTCTCTGCAAGCCATCTGGCTATCATGAGAGATTCGTTCATGAGGCGATCCACATATACAAACACAGAGACAATTTCAACAGAGAAGATGGATTCTGGCTTAGCAATCATTGGAAGGACGTAATAAACCATTTCGGATCTTAACTGATTGTGTTCACGTTCACGGTGACTTTCAGACCCTGTTCCACTCACTGACATTGTATTCTCTGCAGGGAATGGATTCTTTGCTCCCCTGCAAGTTTCCCCCCACGACTCACCCATTGACACGACGGTCAATGGTACAGTGTATAATAACAAATAGAATAACATTTATATGCTTAATACAACGTACAAAGTAATATATAGTATCTTAATTGTATAGTAAACATATAGCAGTGTGATACACATTAGGGTGGGTAGAATAATACATAGTGTTATATTAAAATGTATAAGGTATAGGGTGGTTTATAGCAATACAGTATATCATTTAACGTTGGGTTTATCTATGGCAGTATATAGTACGGTGTATGCTCGTGTGATGTAAGAGAATAAAGTTTAGATAGAAGCATATTATATAATTTTTACGACGTAGAATTGTAATGTATTACTTACTGTTAGTAACTCAGCTTATTGTAGAGTATAGAAAGTATACTGATGATGCTATGTAGTTTATACTTTAGTTGTTTATGTAGTTTATACTTTAGTTTTTTTACGTGGTTGTTTATCAATTGCAGCTACATACTATTAACATTCCTTTTATTTGTTAATGCTACCCCCCTTCCCCCTCCCTTTGATGCTGCTAATCCTGCATAATGCACGGTCATAATATTAATTTGAAACCCACCCGCCCAACTCCTACGCATTTTCCATATGCTAAATTCCTCTTGATATGCAAATTATTTTGTCTAGGCGCTCTTTCTCCCACCTCCCCCCCTCTAACCCAGCTTAAATATGCGCTCCAAGCTTGGTGGTGTTTCATTCTTCACCTGAGGACGGCTGCTTGCGTTGTGGCCAAAACGTCGTGAGAATTATTTTATGTTTTATTTTTATTATTTTATTACTTCCCTTCTACGTGACTTTACCGAAAGAACCAAGAAGATGCTTTGTATTTATTCTGCACTTTTCCACGAGGTTCTGAAGGCCCTGCACTTTACAAACAACAACACAATAATGATAGCTCATTGGTCAAGGAAAGGAAGACCCAAGAGGTTTGGGAGCTCATTGAAAGAAGTGAAAGCAAGAGAATGAACACGCGTCCAGGTGTGGTCTGAAAACCGCCACTAGATTGATCAACGCACGCTTCATAGTTAACAAATGGTGCTGATCCAGGATATGATAAGGATTGTAGACTCGACATATTGGTCATTACCAAAAACCTGGATATATGATGATGTAATTAAGCATGAGGCTGCACCTAATGGATATGCTATTGTACATCGACAGTGTCACGGGAAGCCTGGCACCAGCAGCCCACTTGGTGATGGGATCGCACTGTTTCGCCATAAAGAAATCTGTGTGAAAGCCCTGAGTGACTCTTTAACAATCGTGTCATTCAAGCTGCTGCTTATGACAATAACGAACATCAAGCGGGGGCTTACAATCGCTGTCGTCTACGACCATCGTCTTCACCGCTGTCAGAATAATTTTCCTAGCTTTCTGGTCTGGTAGATTGTGGGTCACTTGGCTATCGCTACATCATCTGTGGTGAAATGAACTGTGCCGGACCGACTGGTTCTTGTAGGAAAATCAACAGTGATTTCGCCGAGATGTTCAACAGTCAGTTTAACCCAGCACGTCAGCGGCACAATACGTCACTCGGAAAATATACTAGATTACATCTTCACATTTAGAGATGTCGTAACTTTGACCGACGTTCTTACCGATAACATGGCTATTCGGATCGCAGTCTTGTGACGTGCAAAGTGGCATTACCGATTATTCGCCCACCCATCACAAAGATATCATAGAGAGACTGGAAAGGACTGGACCACGATGCTTTCCCTCAGAAGATCCGGTCATCATCGGCGCATCTGAATACTGCATCAACGGTCGATTAATTTGCAGCTCAATTAAAAAATGACATTACCACTGTTGTTGATGAACTCGTGTCCATCCATTAAAGCACTAAGAGAACGGGGAAAGCGCAAAGTGACTTACTGTCACTGGAGGCAATCGCTGCAAAACAGATACGGAGGTGGCTGGGGTATCTTTGGAATAAAACTGTTTTCCAGACTGTCACACTCGCTTACAGAGCCGCCTGCAGATCTGCAAACCAGCTCATTATTGAGTCTCGCAGATCATTCTATGGTCTGCGCATCAATGAGTCGGTTCGCGACCCCGTGTTCTGTGGCGCGTTGTGAAGGGTCTGTTGCACTCCAACCCCATCAACCAGTCAACCCGGTCTGTGCACAGTACTTGTGACATTCTTCGCCAATAAAGTGATTATTAATATGGCAGTTTCAAACTTGCTCTCAACGCATTCTCCCTCTCTGTCATCTGAGTTTGATCAACCTGAAACCAATGGAAAACTCGTCGGTAGCAGAGGTGTCAATGTTCCTTGCACAGCTGCCAAATAAGACATTGCCACTCGACTACATTCCGATATTGATTCTCAATTTATGCTTGGTCGTACTTGTGCTGACAATTGTCCACCTGGCAAATATTTAAATAAGTGAGGACTGTTTCCGAGACCATTGCAAAATGGCACCGCTCCTGAAAAAAGTTGGCTTGAGCCATAGTGACCACCCAGACTATCACCCGATCTGAAACCTGAATATAATTTCCAAGGTCATAGAGTGCCTGTGTCTGAAGCGGTTACTTCCGACGTCACTGCGATGAGCAAATTCAACCCGTTGTAGTCGGCATACGAACAATTCCACAGCCCTGAAAAGACTACTAGAGGTCAGTGTTGATCTCTAAAAGATCATGGATGACTGGTGCGTCGCAGCATTGGTTGGCCTCGATCTCTCAGCCACCTTCGACACCATTGACCATGAGATACTCATTGAGCAGATAAGGTCAAGGTTCGCTGCATCGGGTATGGAACTAGAGTAGATTGAGTCATACCTGTATGGTGGATTACAGTTCGTCAAGCTGGGTGACAAAAAGTCATCTCCTATGCCATGCCTAGTCAGCGTACCACAGGGGTCCATCCTCGGGCCCTCCCAATTTTCAATATATGTCTCTCCGATCGCTGATATTATCTCATCGCGTAACATGAAGTTCTATAAATATTCCGATGACTCACAATTGTACACTGCAATGAAGAGAGCCTCAGCAACCTCGAAGATTGCATGTGAGCAGTGCACGTGTGCAAGAAATGAAATTGTGGGAAAATCAGATGTGGCAGTCGCAGACTCCAGGATTCAGTTTTCGATTAATCTAAATAGCCTCAACATCGTACTCAGAATATGTCGTGTGATCACCACGTGCAAAATGTAATCAAGTCCTGTAATTTTCATATCAGGCCTCTACGACACATTCGACCACTATTGAGGCGTGACATAACCACCACGGTGACGTGTAGCATAGTAATGATAAGGCACAATTATAGCAACATACTGCTCTATGGGACGTTGGCACGTGTTCTGATGGGTATTGCAAGTTCAACATACATTGTGGTTCATTTGTGGAAAGCACGTTGTGTGTAATGAGTGCCGCGTGCTGCTGCAGGAGAAGCGTGGGCGCCCACCTTGATCTGCGTGTCGGGCTTCGTCTTGAAGCAGACGGCGATGTACAGAGCAGGCGGAATGATGGCAATGAGGAGTGCCCAGTTTTGGTCCATTTTGAAAAGAAAAGTGAAACATCCTGAGCACCGGCAAGAGACAAATACCACATGAGCTGAATACCATCATCATCCCCACCACCATCACCATCATTACCATCATCATCGCTACAACCACCATCATAGGCATCATCATCACCGTCATAATTACCATCATTACCATCCTTAATACCACCACCATCATCATCACCACCACGATTGACAACGACAACCGTTCAACCAGCAGTAAAGTAAAGAGTGCACTCAGATTAACAGAGTCGTGCAGCCTGTGTGTAAAGAATATTTTGCTGAAAGAAACTTACAGCAGTTTGAATACCCCAGCACACAAGCAATAATACTCACAATATTATTAACAGTGCGCATATGTTATGATGAGAAGATTAACACGATCAATCACTTTGAGGCTGTGATGTTATCAGAAATATAGCAATCAAAAATATCGTTGCAGAAACAACTGTGAGTGATGACATGAAGCCATGCACGACTGTGAGGAGAAGTGTTCCAAGTAAACTTTTTTTTATAAAGTAAACTATTGTTATTATACCAGATAAACCCACTGAGCATTGGAGCTTATTTTTCAGAAGCAACTTGGCCACAAATGATAACTCAACAAAGTGGCTTATCACGTGTAAATTGATAGCAGCCAAATAGTCTAAACGCATGATGTTGATTCTAAACGTGGAGACAAAAACCGCAGGACCCGGAGAAAAATCAACACGACCACGAGGAGAGACATGCCAATTCCAAATATACAGGTGTCGGAATAGAACCCACGACCTCCTGTATACCAGGCGAGGGAGTTAACGCCTCTCCACCATGGTGCCCTCTCTTTTGATACAGTACTTGCATCAAAAGGATGAACCCGGATAAATAAAATAAAAACCCAGGACATGTGACAACCCGAAGTCACCTGCAATCATGAGACAGACAGTAGCCGGACCCATGATGGAGGTGGCCATGTAGATGATCTGATAGAGAATGTAGAGCCGAGAGATGGACGGGTTCTTCTTGGCCGTGCGGACGCCGTTCTCCAGGATGCTGAAGGTGTTCGCCATCGTGGAGGGGCCCCACCGCCTCCGCTGGTTGAAGAACTCCTTGAATTCCTGCGGGGCGTTGGTGTAGGCGTCCGATCCGGCGCAGTACTCGACGCGCCAGCCCTGCTGCAGCATCAGCGTGCACAGCCAGCGGTCCTCGCCTGCACCCACAAATGGGAGAGGGGACGTCCGCGAGTTAGAGGGTAACCAGCTCATTGTACCCACAACCTGGCCGAGTGGCGTTTCTCTGTAGCTGCACCAGCAGTAGCCGTCTGAAATTATCTCTCTCTTTGTATCTTTTTTTCTATCTCCCACTGCTGCACACGCAGGAGCAGAAGCAACAAGCACCATCATCCGCCTTCAAGAAGCCGACTCTCACCTGTAAATGCTCTCACCTGTCCAGGCTCTCACCTGGTTCAGAGTGGTAAATGAGGGACTTTGACCTTTCACCTCTAAATTCTTGATGGCACATTTAATTAAATTCGCGTAGTGTGCATGTTGTATTAATCGTGAATGCAGCTTGCTCACTCCACTGCTGGCAGAGGAGCTCGGCAACATCCAGTTCGCCAGACGTCTTGGAAAGAGATCTGGATACCCACACCTTAGAGTCTCCACACACGACCTCCCGATCAACTGCGTGATGAACCCATTCATACAGAGGGCATGTTGGGGAGGGGAGCGGTGCATATAAATCAGACTCAGAAGGCAGAGACCAACATTCTAATGATTCATGATTCGTTCATTGTGGGTCCGATCATCGTGCAGGTATAATATCGGAGTCATGCAAGTTGTCAATTGGGCGAATGTCAATAGATTGTTTTTTTCTGAAAAAGTTAAATGTAAATAAATAATATATATTCATATTTATGTAAACATTCTCAATATTTTGCTGTCCTTTCAATATTCGGGTTTTGATAATTAAACCAAAACAATTGACGTAGTTGCCCCATGACCTAACAACTTTACTCGATTGGCTCTATCGGGTGGTGGACGCTTATTGTTAAAACAAATTAACACTATACCTACACGATAATCTAACCCAGCATGAACGAATTGTCAATCATGAATATTGGTTGTGAAATCCGACGTATGATATTGATGTTGCGGGGTCTCGACCCACGTATTACCGCGATGAATGGTGCGAAAGACATTCTAAATACATACAACGTCCAAGTTTGTCGACGGGATGTTCGTAGAATTGTAGTTGTTTATACCAATGCGACATATTTGCATTGCCTACACAAGCCAGAAGGGTTGGGTGGGAAATTAACAATCAGATCGTATTGTGGCTGAAGAAAGAGTTGCAATTACTTCCACGATTTGTCTAAAGTAAAACTAAACTATTTTTTTTTATATTATTTTACCAGGTAAGGCCCAGTGTGCCATGTAGCCCTTTTTCAGAAGCGACCTGGCCACAAATGAAAGGTCATCGAAGCAATGGCAGAGCCAGGATTTTCAGGTAGGGGGGGGGGCAACCCCTCCAGCAATGAAAAATGATAGGAGTTGTTAGTAAGTAAGAACTTGTCCCTTGCTTTTTATTTGACACGTGTGCGACGATGGTGCAGCCATCGATTGAGGGTCTAATTCGAACCGTGTGGGTTCGGCATCACGCTCGCTGAAGGTATGCCTTCAGGGAAGTCGTGTACTGTATACGCAGCTTCGCACAATTCTGTGAGTCACTTATAACTGCTTTGCCGTTACTTATTGCCAATTGTGGACTCAGACTATTGTCCTATCATCTCATAGAGTCCCTGGCACGTAATTATATGCTACACAGTGGCAGTGGGGATCGCAAAATGCCGATTTATTACTAATAAACCCCAATAATCCAATCGAATTAGGAATTTTGATCAGATCATTGGGGGGGCACGTGCCACCCCCCCCCCCCCCCACTGGCTCCCCCAGTGCATTGAAGTGACTCACCATATGGAAATTATTAGCAGCCAAATGTTCTAAGCGCGTGATGTTGATTCTAAATGTGTAGGGAAAAACCGGAAGACCCGGAGAAAAATTCACGCAACCACAGGGAGAGAGAGAGAGAGACACGCAAAATCCAATAAACACGTGTCAGGGTCGGGATGGAACCTACGACCTCCTGTATACCAGGCAGGGGAGTTAACATCCCGCCACCGTGACATGTTTACATGTTGAACTTCTTTCGCACCACACGTAGCCAACCGTGCTAATCGGAGGTGCGAGATCCAAACACACGTCGACGCTTACCTTGGTCGTACTGGATGTACTGCAGGGCCTCGGTGGCCACGGTGGTGTAGGTCTTGAGGACGTTGTCGTCCATGATGGCCTTGGCCCGGAAGAGGCTGAAGCAGCCAGGGCTGCAGAGAACGCAGCCCAGCACGTGCTCGGCCGTCTTCTGCAGCCAGTGGCCTACCGCGTACTCGAACTTCTGGTACCAGATGAGCGGCCCTGTCGGTGTATAAACAATCGTGGTTAATTGGCTTAACGCAACTCATAGTGAAAACCCAATGCAGCCGTCCTACAATTCAGGTGTGATTTTCCTGGATAAATATATGTTGTATGTGGGTTGTATGTTGTATTGTATGTTGTATGCATGTTGTATGTATATCTTTTGAAAAAAACTACTGTGGTTTTTGCATTGGAACCACCACGAGAGAAAGTTTGTTTGTAAGCGTGGAGAGCGAGGTTAGAGCTTTGAATTCCGAGATTGGGAGGAAATATAATTGTTGACTAAGGGGGATCAAGGGTGGGTCAAGAGGAGGGGTAGGGAAGTACAAGAGGAGGGAGAGGGAATAGGCAGGGGGGCAATGAAGGGGAGGATCGGAGACATTTGGGGGGTGTAGAGGGAGGGAAGGTTTGGAGGAAGAGTGGATGGCTAGAGGGTAGGGAAGGGCATGCTGGGGAGACGAGAGGAGGGGGTGATGAGAGAGGGAAGGAGGTGAAGGAGAGAAGCAAGCCGGAAGAGCGATCCGGGAGGCCACAGTGGGAGAGCGGGAGGGCAGGGAGCAAAGGGATCGGTGGGGTCAAGTAAAAACGACACAAGCTCTTTGAATTATTCCCCTGTTTTAATTGTGTATTTGTTATTTGTTTATTTTAAATTGTGTGTTCATAAATAGATGGGATTTTTCTTATAATAATGAGTCAAGAGGTGGCTAAATCTGTGCTCTCCGGTTTCCTGGTTGAAAAGTTGGGTTTGTGTCCTTGCCCAACGCTGGTCCAGCCTTGCTCGACCACTGAATAAACGAAAGACATCTGAATTGTGCCGTTAAAGCATCGAGATTGGATATTAGTGCGTGCCACGTAGTTTGATTTCGTCGTAACTATGTTTGGTGTTAGTCAGTCTGCGGTCTGCCTCGGCTCAGCATGGCACGTGCCAGCTTATGCCCACTGCTACATTCTCCTGGCAGATTTCAGTGACAGATTTTGTTTGTTGGGCACCTAACCTCTAAGGGAATAGTACAGGTTATGGGAATCTATTTATTTATTTATGTATTATGTTTGCGAGCCAGCTGGCCAGGAAGGTTGGACGATTACAAAGGGTGGAGATGTGTTGGATTATTACATCGCAGAGTCGTGAGAGATGGCGACGACTTGGGGAGGCCTTCATCCCGCAGTGGATTGACCACGCTGATAATAATGATATTGATTTTGATTTACAATCAATAATTATCTGGGATTTGCGCAATTTACTCCGAAGTCTTTGCAGTATTTTGGTATTTAATTTGAGCTATGTGGAGTCAAACTTCCATTACTAGTGGTAGTGGTGGTTTTTCTCAGACCACTTCATGATATAACAATTCGGCTCCATGTGCACTCGGTACTGCTGTGGTGGACGCGTATTGATTTAATTCCAATCCTACCACTGTGCTTACGTGTGTGTGATTATTTAACTTTCTTTAAACATCCTGAATAGTTGTGGTAGCAAGGGCATTCTGTTATTCATAAAGGTTTTCGGGTTAGGTCGCGTAAGTATAAATGCGTCGTAAGAGGCCGTCCATAAATGACGTAACGCACCTAGGGAGGGAGGGGGTCAGACATTTGTGACGATGTGTGACGAGGGCGTGAGGGGGGAGTTTGAGAAATGTGACGTCACAGCGAAATACGCAACTTTAAATAAATATAGAATTGTTATAACAACACTAATTGTTATAACAACACTCTAATAACATCAGAGTGCAGCGCCACATTAAATACGCACTACAAAGATAATAGTTTAAAGCGATTTGAAGCATGTTTTATTTTCAAAATGGAAATATGGTTTTGGGGGGGGGGGCAGAGCTTTGTGATGTCATATTTGAGGGGGGTCTGACTTTTTGTGACGCTATGTGACGAGGTGGGGGGGGGTCAAAAATCGTCCAAAATCACGTGACGACATTTATGGACGGCCGCTAGCCCTCCCCACCCGACACAGCCAGTAAGGTTTGTCACGTAAGCAAAATGTGCAAATGAGTTACTATTTCAGCCCACCCGTTTGTTGGAAAGTAAATCCACACCACAGTGCGCTAAACACTGCACTACTGCTCCGCACCACACACGCACGCATCCTACACCACACACACATCATGCACCACACACATCCTGCACCTCACACACACACATCCTGCACCACACACACATCCTGCACCACACACACCACAGCTGTCTACGCACCCACACCCGTCGGGTGAATTCTCCCGCAGGCGGCGCCAACGGTGGGGTCCCTCCTGAGTCGGTCGATCAGCATGGAGAGCGCCGAGGGGTAGAAGTCCGTGTCTCCGTCCAAGGCCAGCACATAGGTGTTGCGCTTCTTCCTCTGTGGCGGTGAACGGGGAGTAGTGGCACGGAGACAGATCAGCACCAGCGGTGGCATTACAGCCGCGACCTCGTACAGAGCAAGCAAAGCAACCGATCACTTAGCTCGTCAACCCCAACGCTCCTTCTCCAACCTCCAACAACCAAACACACAATGTATGTATGTATGCTGTATGTATGTTGTATGTGTAGTGGGTATAAATTGACGAATAAACTTCTGATGAGGCAACACGATATTTTATGTCTTTCTTTCAAGTCCCTAACACAAAGGGTTTTCGGTCCCTTTACCCGATACCTTGGGAGCTATGGCCTCCGAACTATACGGGCCCTATCACTGGGTACCCCGTTCCCCTTCGTCCTCCGGCTGGGGCCTAGAGGAGGCTATCTGACCCGACCGTACCCGGTCCAGGTCTTCATTCTTCAGCTTGCAGATGACTGAGCCAGACCTCTGAGAGGTCCGGCTTATGGACTGATTCGTGGCTTGCTCCACCCTAGCCACGCCTCCCTTCTAGAACTTTCTGGAAGGTGACATCATCCGCCGGTTCCCCCCTCCCGGGGCCCCGGGGAATGTGTCCCAGGATCCATTAGCTAGGGTTTGTTGTAGGCCCCTTTTTTGGCCATGGACATTAGCCCTGGCGTGATAGCGCTTCCGCCCCCTATTGACGATAAAGGGAAGCTACCAGCCCACAGAGTGGTGAGTGACGATTACCCCGACATATGTATGTTGTATGTATGTTGAACTTTTTTAGTACCGTACGTAGCCAACCGTGTTAGTCGGGGAAGGACAACAAACTAAACACAAACCGCATTTCAAAATTCAATAGTATTCAAAATAGATTATTTAAAAGTGCATAGCTACAGTAGATTCCTAAAAACAACCACAAGGGTCGAGAGATCGTTGCTATCTGCAGCGCTACAACCTCTGGAAACAATCTCCCCGAAGCGGTGTGCACACTCGACTCCATCATAACTTCATTAACAGTGACAACTTAATGGAAACAATGCGGCTCTTTTTGCTTGCGTACAACAACTAACTCCAGCCATCCTCACAGCAGCGGCTTTTGGTGAGCCGTTGAACAAAGATGGGCACTGCATCTCGCACTTTCAGATGCGCTTCTACGGTGGTCTGGAACGCTCTTCCTTCCGATATTAGGAAGCAACTGGAGCTATGCACTTTTAAATCATCAATTAGATTGGACACTAATTTCTCTAGAACTGCGTTTTGTGTTTGGTTTGTTGTTCTTCCCGCACACCTCCGATTAGCACAGTTAGCTACGTACGGTGTGAAAGAAGTTAAAAATGCATACAACTAACTCAGAGTCGCAAACCTATTTTGCTCATATTTTAAACAACTGTAATAAGTGTATGTATATAGATATTTCTTAATGTATAGAAATTTCGATTGCAATTTTTAATACCAACGTGATGATGGCGCGTTGAGTGATACATTTCTGCCAGAGAGGTAACCAAAGATAGACTTCTAAATGTGCCGAATCTGCGTGCACAGACACGCGTAGTGCAGGCTACGACTGGGCCTCCACCCAGAGGTAGAGAGCCCGAGAGAGAGAGACCCTCGAACAAACTAAACAATAAAAATTTACTAGGCAAGACCCACTGAGCTATTAGCTCTTTTTCAGAAGCGACCTGGCTATCAAAAATTATAGCTCAACAAAGTGGATTATCAATTGGATATTTATAGCAAATACACGAAATGCGTGATGTTGATTCTAAATGTGGAGGGAAAAACCGGAGGACCCAGGTAAAAATCCATACGACCAAGGGGAGAGAGACACGCAAGCTTTAAATATACAGGTGTCAGGGCCGGGATCGAACTCAGTGCCTCCTGCATACCAAGCGAGGTCGTTAACATCTCGCCACAGCGGCGCCCTAACAGGGTGTATTTGGTCTACACTTCCACACTGCTCCCACGTCTTGGGGGAAGAGAGGGGAGTACTCACACTCTACCCCACCGCACGGGAACTGCACATCCACAGAATGTGCAGGGCTTACCCATTTAAACTGGCAAGTGGAAGTGTAAAGCGGCCTCCCCAAGGTCGGCTTAACCTTAAATGAGTAAACATTAGCACTGGGGAGACAAAGGTGGATGGGCGTGGTGTTGGACACACGACCCGCTTGCGTGCCGTCCCGTCCTGAACAGGTGCTCGCTAACAGCATTTGCCTCAACAGTGTGTTAACGGCTATATGAGGGATCGTTGTCTTTGCAGTTTACAAGACCCTTACCTCCACCCATTCCTCTTGTTCATCTTTCTTCACTGTGTGGATCTTGCGGTAGATCTTCCAGCCAAAGAGGTAGTACATGTACATCACCTGTACAGAACACGTCAAGGGGTTTAATAATAACAATCACCATCAGCAGCAGCAGCCGTGATTGATCCACTACTGGATTAAGACCTACCCAAGTCGTCACGATACCTCATGAGATCCTGAGTCGTTATCCACCCAGCACCTCCATTACCGACTGATTCCATCGCTCCATCTCCTCGGCGGCCAATCCTCTTGTATAAGTTACATTATTTGGCTGCCACTCCACTATTATTCTCGACATAATGGCCATGATGGCGCGTGCTGCCCAAGTGTAACTCAAAAGCGCACGTGAAACGAATTATTAATCATCACGTGATTTCATTTTCAAATGAGGAGATGACTCTCGAAGTAGCATACAGATGGCTTCAATAGGCGTGAGCTATTGCCATCTCCTCTGTACGGCAGATGCTGGTGACAACTCGTAGAGCGAGAGCTGTAACTTTACATCGAGGTGGTTGACGAACCAGATGATTGCGCCAGGAGTAGCGGAGTGGCGAATCATCGCTGCTGCGTTCGTGTTGTGAATCGGGCGTTGAGTCGTTTTGTGTTCCGTCGCTCTGTTCTGGGTAGTGACCACTGTCGATATTAGGAATGCACAGGAGCTATGCACTTTTAAATCTAGATTGTAAACTCATTTCTTTAGAACGGCTTTCTGTGTTAAATGTTTTATCCGTCCCTGTACCTCCGATTAGTATGGTGAGTAGGGTAAGGTGTGGTGTGAAAGAAGTTCAACATACATATGGACGGTCACTGACCGGAGATATTTACTTTTCTAATTGTGCATCATCATCGTCATGTATAAGCGCATCAGCTGCTACTATGCTCTGTGTGGATGCGGTTGTAGGGTTTGTGGCCCAATGAGCTTTGGGGCAGAAGATCTGAAGCCCAAGGACGCAACAAATACCTGTGACCACCGCTTGCGATGGCGGATCATCTCCTTGTCCTTGAGGTGCACGCACAGCGAGTTGCCGTGCGGGAGTTTGTAGGAGAGTCGCGCTCCGTACGGCGTCTGAGTCCTCTCCATTGACGGCGCCTCTTGTGGATTATTCGAGTTTTTCTCAAAATACCTTCACATCAGCAGCAGAAGCACAAGCGACAGGGAAGACGCGCCCCAATTACTATGTTGCATTGTTGCTGCTGCTACTGCTGTCATCTTGGATGAAGTCCCCAGCTGTTACCTCACTGCTGCACTCGACAAAATGTTGAATATTTAGGTTATTTGGCTGCTATACATTTCCACGTGATAAGTCAATTCGTTGCGCTATTATTTGTGGCCAGGACGCTTTGAAAAAAGCTAATACCTCAGTGGGTCTTTTCTGATAAATTTAAAATAGTTTCGTTTCATATTTGTCTTTTGTGATATGCTTACCTGTCCTATACTTGGCACTCCTATCGTGTTTTTGTATTGTTTGTTGATGTAACGGTCTCACCGTCCCCTGCTGGACATCTGTGAAATAGAGCTTTGCAGCTCATCGAATTCCTCCTGCAGTTTAATAAAAAATTATGATTCTGAATTGAATACAGCAGCAGCAGTCGTGGGTGACCAATGATCCAGCACTCAAATATGATCTCCCAGTTGCTCGCTGGCTCACTGGCGGTCAGTTGCCTTCGTATCGCTCTTCTATTGCTACTACTTCTACAACCATCGTTACTGTTCACAAGAACTTCATAGATGAATTCCTCCACCCGTGTCGAGGGCCTCGGTCGCCCGGACTGAGTCGTATCGTTGTCTAAATTCTTACCAACGCACGAACAAAAGACAACGATCCCCGGTATAGCCTTCAACAGAGTGTTGAGGCAAGGACTGTTAGCCAGTAGCACCTATGAAGGACGGCCCGACACACGAGGGGGTAGGTGGCCAGCACCACGCCCGCTTGCTTTTATCTCCCCAATTGCTGCACCGTTTTGTGTAAATTATGTCATGCGACGTGTGCACTCTAGAGCAAGGTTGGCTTTGCATGGTGTGAAAGAAGTTCAACGTAAATACGGACGTGTATAAAAAGATGAGGCTGCCTGCTCAATTCAACACGAGCGTGAACGCTCATCTATCACACCGCCCACCACAATGTTTCTGTTTGCCAGCCAATTGTCAGTTTGTGCACCTTCGGATCTGTGTTCAACAACGGTGATGGTGACGCAAGGCCTCGCTAGGCCTGCGATCGGCGCTCACGTCGGTCATCTGCGTGACCATCACCAAACATCGTCATTGTTCACCGTGATTTATCAAATTCTGCACGAAGGCATCTGCGCAGGCTATTCCCATCCTTTTCTTGTTCTCGCGCACACCACGAGATGAGCTTAACTTCCCTGTGCCGTCCCTTGCTTCATTATTAGAATGCTCGTGCCTCTATCCATCCTTCCCTCCCTCCATCCACCCAGCTCATCTTGACCACATAATAACACCCGGTGCACTGACCGGCACACTTCGGCGATGACGTCCATGAGGCTGGTCACGAACTGGTTGACCACCATGTGATCTCCCTTCATCTCGAAGGCGTCATCGAAGTAGATGTGAGCCGAGAAGTCGTACGGTTCCCGCTTCACTGTCTTCTCCTTCTTCCCCTTCTTTTCCTCCTTCTCCCTTTTCTCATTTTCCTCCTCCTTCTTCTTCTCCTCCTTTTTCTCATTTTCCTCCTCCTCCTTTCCCCCCTCCTTCTTCTGCTTCTCCTCCTCCTTCTTTTTCTCATTATTCTTCGTCTTCCCTCTGCCGCCGGAACCGACGCTTAGATCCTTAGGCTGACTCCTGTCCAGCCTGGCAGCGGCAAGGGGGAAGGGTGGTTATTGTTATTCCGCTACTGGCTCTCCGAGTCAAGGTCACGGTACAGCATCGCTGTCCTCTGCAATCGAGCGCTCACCCAAGATCTCCTGCCGAATGTTTCCTCCACCTTTCTCATCCCACAGATATCAGCAAACTGCCACCGCATCCTATGGAGTTCAACTCACAACGACCTCTACCCACAGCTGGCACCGGCTTCTGGGTGAGTGGCATTTCTCTGTAGCTGCAGCAGTCAGCAGCCGTCTGGAACTCTCTCTGTATTTATCTCCCACTGCTGCACAAGCAGCAGCAACCAAGCACCATTATCCACATTCAAGAAGGAGACTCTCACCTGTCCAGGCTCTCACCTGTCCAGGCTATCAACTTGTTTAGGCTCTCGCTCCCACCTGGTTCAGGCTCTCACCTGTCCAGGCTCTCAATATTATTATGCATCTTAATAATGTTTGCAGCCTATATGTGTTAAATCAAGTTGATTTAGTTGATTACAGCTTGCACCATTCACAAACATCGCTCAATGATCACATGCAAAGAACGGACCCACATTAAATACGATCATCTGATTGGCTGCCACGTTAGGAGGCCAAATGTTCCGTGCTAATCGGATGTGGAGGGAAAGGACAATAAACTAAACACAAAAAGCAGTTTTGAAGAAATTAGTTGTTAATCTAAATAATTTAAACATCCATAGCTCCAGTGACTTAATAATATCGGAGGGAAGAGCATTCCAGATGGCTGTAGAAGCACATCTGAAAGCGCGCGGTGCCGTGACCGAACGAAATTAATGGGTTGGTTCACACCCATCTGCATATTTGCGAGGGACTCCCACTGGTCCGTGGGATCCGGCCGCTTGATGGGAACTGGCGGTAGGTAAAATACTACCTCAGGATGGACGAGATGATCTTCGTCATCTCCTCCTTGGTCTCGTGCCACATGGTTGCGCACAGATAGATCTTCACCCTCTCTTGCTCTTGGCTGCTACAGGATACAACGAGAACATGACATCGTATTCGGATTGAGAGAGGGAATCGCAGAGCGCGGTTCTCTGTTTTATGCATTGGACAATGTGGGGTGGACATATTTTGGTCTGTAGGATAGAAGGGCAAACGTCACAAATTGTCATCATTTTGAAAAAAAACATGTTTGGATTATTTGATCATACTTTACCACCGACACTCAAAACACGACAAATAGACAAATGCATCGACCAGACTACCACACAATAAAAACAAAGATCGGCCATATAGCCTTGACAGACTGTTGGGGCAAGGGCTGTTAGTGACTAGTACTTATGTAGCCCAGAACGAGACTCCAGGGGATTTGTGGCCATTCACACAGACACACACCTAGTCACACGGACATCTAGTCACACAGACACCTATTTAGACAGACACCTAGCCACACAGACACCTAGTCACATATGTTGTGGGCTTGTATGGAGACAGAGTCTTCTTAGGAGGCAACACGTATTTATTTATAACAACGATAACGATAACACTCGGTCCCTAACACGGGCTAACGTGCCCTAACTAATAGGGCCAACCACTCTTTAGCCCTCCGGCTAGCGGGACCTAGGGGAGGCTGACCCGACCCAGCCAAGGTCCTCGGGTCTCGACCCTGGCCCACACAGACCCGGTCCTGAGAAGGGCGTCGGGTCGGGGGATCCTCAGGGTACTAGCCTATTGACCACTGGCCTCACTGAGCCCCGGGCCTTATAAGGACGGCGGGGCTTGGGGTCCAGGGTCCTATCTTCAGGTGGATTCTGGGTCTTCGGCTTGAGGCAAACTGACTCCAGCCGCTCTGGGGTCTGGCTTTTATGGGGCTCCCAGGGTCACCCCGCCCCTAGTCATGCCCACCATCTGGAACCTTCTCGAGGGACCTGGATTGTTGCGCAATCCTCCCCAGCCCCCTACCGGGGGGCCTGGGGTGTCCCCCTCCGGTTCCCAACCGTCCCCCCCCGGGATGCCTGAACCACGAGTCCTGCTTAGCACAGGCTGGACTCGCTATTGCCCCCTGTTGGCCCCTGACTGGAAGTACCTGCTCAACCAAAGTATTGGCGGCATATTATGCCCAACAATCACCCACCACACATAGATACAACAAGCAAACAAAGCCTGATCAGACTATTGGGGCAAGTGATGTTAGCGAGCACCTATGAAGGCCGGCACAAGGTGGTGGGTAGCCAACACCACGCCCGGCCGTCTTTGTCTCCCCAGTGGTGATGTTTACACACCACACCAGGTGCTCATTTGAGGCTGAGTCGACCTAGAGAAGGACCATGACCGGTTTAGATAATTGTCACTGATGTTGGCCGTGAGCAGGAATCGATCTCGGGTTACCGGGTTCGTAGCACAGGGCGCTAACAGAGACACTGCCACTCCCTACCTAGATACACACAAACACACACACACCTACTCACAGAGACACCTACACACAATCACACACACACACCTACTCACAGAGACACCTTGTCACGTACAGACACACCGAGTAACAAATGTATCGATTCAGACTCCCAGACACACCGTGTCACACACAAACCAAGTCACACGCGCACACACCACGCCGTACCAACACCAACAGACGGACCTCCTCTCCTCCTCCACCTCCTCCTGCTGCTGCCGCCGGTTGAGCAGCAGTCCCGCGACGAGACACGCGGGCTGCGGGGCGCGGCGCACGAAGAGCTCGCGTGTGCGCTCCATGCGCATTGCACCGCCCGGGCGCAACGCGGGCGCCGCCGCCAGCAGCAGCGCCGCAAACCACAGCGCCCCGGCGCCCAACGTGAGCACGGTATCCACCACTGAGTCCTTGCCAGGACCCACGAACGAGCAGACGGCAGCGGCCGTGCGGTCATAGAAGAGTGAGGTAGTTGCGGACGTCGTCTGCTCGGAGCCGTTCCACCGTCGGACCGACTCGCAGTCATAGCGAGAGTCGCCCGAGGCGTCGAGCACGAAGTGGAGGGCGACGACGACCGCCAGGGCGGCGGGCGTGGCGAGGCAGAGCGGCGCGGCGAAGCAGCTCCTCTGCTGGCGGATCTTGCAGGCGGCGTTCGCGAGCCACTTGCAGAGGATGGAGGCGCCTGCCTGCACGCCCAACAGAGCCAGGGCGAGCGCCACGCTCTCGCGGTGTTCCGCGATGCCGCCGATGGCGCTGAAGCTCCTCCACTCGCCCTCGACGCCCGCGTCCAGCAGCACGACCGCCACGATGATGATCGTGCGCACGAGCGAGCCGTAGAACTCGGCGAGGTTCCGCGATTCGCCAACGGCGTCGCGGAATCCCCGGAGCCAGCCGACGGGCAGGAAGTTCTCCCACCACGACAGGGACACGAGCAGCAAGGCTCACCAGCAGCAGCGCCAGGTGGGCAATCATTCCCGCCTCCGTGGAGCCGCCGTTGGGCGCCGTCAATGCCACCTTGGCGACCGACAGCGCTAATGCGCCGAGACAGCAGCAGAGGGAGGCCAGGCTCAGGAGCTTGGACGTCCTGGGCGGCTTCCTGCCTCGCGTCCATCTTCCGACGAACTGCAGCGCGCTCGGCACCAGGGTGACACCATTGAGGAGGAGGATGCTGCTGAGAAGGTTCGCCGAATCCGCCGGGAGGATGACGATGGCCATGAGGGCTGAGCCGAGACCGATGAAGCCTTCCAGCAGGCAGTTCTGGGTGACGCCCAAACGAACGCAAGGACATTGAGAGACAACGAGAGATTGAGGATTGTTGGAATGGTGAAACACGCCAATTAAACGCAGAGCCTAGAGTGTCTTTTTTTAAAGGCCTTGTCGTTTTTGTACAAAACAGGTGACAACTGCACTGGCCAACGTTGGCGAGGCATGGGAAAATCAATCCCCACTGATGGACAAGGCCTAGCGTGGATTAACAACAACAAAACTCAATTCAACACGTAGGCTTTCGCGACCAATATCATCCATAAGATATTTTTTGGGTTAGATCGCGTAAATATATAAATGTGTGGTTAAACCCCCCACCACCCGACACTGACAACTAGTAAGGGTTGTCACGTAAACAGAACATGCCAATTCGTCACTAGTACAGCACACCATAGTGTGGGAGAGCCAAGCCACAAGATTAATCTGAGTACGACGTTACGCCAGTAATTACAACTAGCTTAATCAGAGTTTGTTAATGACGGATGTTTTGAGGTTGTTGTTGCTAATTGGGCTTGTGCACCACTGTCAACGCAGCTGCAGCATTGCCAACATAATTTATTTTTAAAATTGCGATACCCAGCAATGGATTGGCAAATGACTCTCCGTAAATTATGTTTATTGTTTCATTTTTGATAATGATATTGACGCGATGCTGCTGCGATTTAATGGTCAGCAGAGTGGACGTGCACTTACTCAGGCCGCCGGGTCTATCTCCCGGCGCGGCAACTGAAGCAAACGGGAGAGTTTGTGACCTCTCCTCGCTCTGTCCGCCCAGAGCCAATGGAGGCGGTGGGGGGGTCTAGCGTGATGAGTCCACTGGAAAAATCCTAATTTGTATTTATACTGGAGGAATTCGATGAGCTATAAAACTATTTTTCAAATATGTCCAGTCGAGGTGGGACAGAATGTTGCAACAACAAACAATACACGATGTCAGTGTGCAATTTACTTTTAAAAATATACAAATGAAAATAAACTTTTTAAGTTTTCGGTAAAGTCATGTAGGTAAAAAATAAAAATTTATGAAAGTAAAACAAAATAAAAAATAAAAATCACGACGTTTCGGAGGCAACACAAGCTTCCGTCTTCAGGTGGAACCGTCACAGCACGATAGCTGTGTGCAGGAGGCCGTTTCTTCCTGACCTGCTTTTGTGCTTTAACCATCTACATGGCAGAGGCTCGGTCTCATTAGCAGCAGTTGCACTTTGAACAACTCTGGCACCCCCCCCCCCCCCTCTCAGGCTCAGTCCTTTGTTATGTAGACTAACCGTAGTCTCAAGCCGCACCTTACCATAATAATAAAAAGTGGGCCATTCCTGGCCCATTCCCCCCCCTCAACCAGTATATATATACGGGGTAGTATCTCTTGTAATCTCTCATTTACTTGATACAGCTATCGTGCTGTGACGGTTCCACCTGAAGACGGAAGCTTGTGTTGCCTCCGAAACGTCGTGATTTTTATTTTGTTTTACTTTTATTATTTTTTTATTTTTTACCTACGTGACTTTACCGAAAACCTAAGAATATGAATACTTGAAATCAAGAATGCTTCAAATCTTGAATTAAACTTTTTAACTTTACCAGATGCAGCCCACTGAGCTATTCGCTTTTTTTCAGATGCGACCTGGCTATCAAATAATGATAGCTCAACGAAGTCGCTTATCACCATGTGGAAATTTATCGCAGCCAAATACTATAAATAATATAAATGCATGTGAATTATAAATGTGGAGTAATGCACCGGAGGTCCGGGACAAACAATCCATGCGACCAAGAAAAAAAAACAGGCAAACTCTTTGTCTCTCTCTGACCCTTACCAGAGCGATAATCTTCCAATTGGAGGCATCGGAGTTCTTGAAGGCGAGCCGGAGGCCGCAGCGGATGGAGCTGAAGATGTTGGGGATGACGAGAACGAAGGCAAGGACCCAGGAATAGAACTGGTTCTGGCCGAGTTCGCCGGCCTGTCTGGCGACCTTCTTCATCTCGGCCAAGTACACAAGGCTCAGCTGCGTTCCACCACATTGCACACGCCAGATGGAGGGAAGCGTCACGACACTATGTGTATCCTATCAATAGAGGGAATCCCCATTGAATGTGTGGCGTTCACACTCCGCATTTTCAACTTAAACGCGGATTTTTCGTTTACATAACGTTTTTCGCTTTAGCGTGCACGGTGCCCCCACTATAACGCGAGTCTAGCATGTGATAAACTACTCGCTATAACGCAAGTATGGTGCGCACTGCGCCCGCTATAACGTGAATCTAGCATGTGACACACTGCGAGCTATAAATGTATCGTTACCCCTCTTCAGATTCCTGACGACTGCCTGATGATGCTGGCTGTGACTCCCAGCGAGACATTCGTACCCAGTTGGTAAACGCGTTTGGATTGCCCTCCAACAACAACGACAACACTGGTGGTGCTCAATGTCAATCAATAGATTAACGCTCCTGCTACTGCCGAAGCGGTAATACACATTGATTGGCTGCACGTTTGTTTAGTGATAACTTCATTAATTGGCTGTCAGGTGAAGGAGGGTGCGCGACACAACTTTTACTCACGCGATTTGACCCAAAACGAAATTATTAATCACAATGTGGATGCCATCATTGTCATCAGCAGCCATGGTAAATCCACTGTTGGATTAAGGCCTCCCATTATCTTCTCGACTACGAGTGAACGGCATTGATCAGTGGAGCGAGTTGACAGTCTCAGCTAGCTTCGAAGCTCAATTCGGAGCGAGAGAACTCGGCTCAGATGCATTGACATTGAGGGGCGCGTGTCTGGACTAACTAACTACTCAAATAAACCATTTTATTTTACCAGGTAGGGCCCACTGAGCTATGTAGCTCTTTATTAGAAGCCACTTGGCTACAAATGACAGCTCAACGCGTTGAGAGTATTTGGCTGCTTTACATGTCCACGTGATGGTGATGATGAGTCACGAAGTCGAGAGTATTTGGCTACTTTACATGTCCATGTGATGGTGATGAAGAGTCACTAAGTTACGAGTATTTGGCTACTTTACATGTCCACGTAATGGTGGTGATGATGAGTCACTAAGTCGAGAGTATTTGGCTGCTTTACATGTCCGCGTGATGGTGGTGATGATGAGTCACTAAGTCGAGAGTATTTGGCTGCTTTACATGTCCGCGTGATGGTGGTGATGATGAGTCACTAAGTCGAGAGTATTTGGCTACTTTACATGTCCACGTGATGGTGGTGATTATGAGTCACTAAGTTGAGAGTATTTGGCTGCTTTACATGTCCATGTGATGGTGATGATGAGTCACTAAGTCGAGAGTATTTGGCTGCTTTACATGTCCGCGTGATGATGGTGATGATGAGTCACTAAGTCGAGAGTATTTGGCTGCGTTACATGTCCGCGTGATGATGGTGATGAGTCACTAAGTCGAGAGTATTTGGCTGCTTTACATGTCCACGTGATGATGGTGATGATGAGTCACTAAGTTGAGCCGTCATTGTGGCCAGGTCGCTTCTGAAAGAAAGATAACTCAGTGGGATTTACCTGGTAAAATACAAATACAAAAACAGTTTAGTTTTTTTTATACATCTAGGGCATGTGTGTATGTTAGACTTATTTTGTACTGTACGTAGCAAACCATGTTAATCGGAGGTGTAAAAAACGAATCGGGTGATGGTGCAGCTGTGAGGTGAGGCTGAGGAGAGAGGTGGGGGGTGCCTCCTCCTCCTTTCTCCTCACCTTGCTGAGCACCGCCGTCCCGAACACGGCAAGGAAGAGCAGCGTCAGGGGGATCAACCTGAAGACCCGAAGACCCCGAGTCGAGGATTCCTCCTCATCGATATCTGGGCGAATGTTGAACCTGTCCCAGGATCTACGGTGGACACAGACATTCGGTCGAGTCACAGTGTATTTTGTGTTGTGACATTGCTCTCTGCTGCTGCTTTAGCTGCAGCAATGCATTGGAACTGTTGTTCACATAACCTATTCACTGGTTGTGTTGGGTGGAGGCCTTACGACACGACATTTTACACATGCGATCTGACCCGAAAATGTATTACGAATGACGATGAGGTCGCAAACGTCTACACGTGCTAGATTCAGTCGAGTAACTTCAGAGCTTTTATCGACGATGTTCGTTGCCAAGAGGAAGAAGACGTTGACGAAGCAAATGGAGAGGAGGAAAAAAAACAACCTCTGATTATTGCGCAAAGAAGATTGGATTGGTGGACGCTGGGCATTGCACTAAGAGGCATGGAGAGGAAGACCATGCGTGACCATTCTGGTCAACGTGGGCTGGGGAAGATGTCACTTTGTGACCGATGCTCGCCCATACCGAGATCGAAGTTGACGTCTTCCGTCGCCGAGCCCAGAGTGATGGGAACCTCCGCGACATCGATCTCAGACAAGTGACTCAAGCAGCTTGAGCGACGGATTCTGGTGCATTGCGTCACTTTGCCAGAAACCAGTTGGCTATCAATGCTCAACATACGAGGGTCGGTTTTACCACGTGATTATGTTTACGTACACAGTTTAGTTTGTTGCCTACTATCGAATCACGCTGATCTTGAAAGCTAAGCAAAGACAAACCTGTCTGCTGCTGCTGAGGTCACCAGGTTCTCAGGACAGGAATAACACGAATGCAGACGTTTTCTCATTGAAAATATGTACATTTCAAAATAGCAGTCCTGGTCACAAACGCAAAGTTTGTGGGAAATAATAGCCATTTTCGGTACAGTTTAGGCATAAACAATTAGGAAATAACACTTAGTATCTAGGAACAAAAAACATAAATTTGTTACACAGTGTTATTATTAATGTAGTGGATTATTAATTTATCTTTTGTGTCCTGATCACAAAGCAAAGTTTGTGGGGAATAATAGCCATTTTTTGTACCTTTGAGGCATAAACAATTGGAAAATAACACTTAGTACCCAGGGACAAAAAAAATCATTTTTTTGTTACACAGTGTTATCTGTGCCGGTCCTAGGCCTTCCCTAGGGCGACTCAACCTCAAATTAGTACATTTTTGTAAGCATCGCCACTAGAGAGACAAAGGCGACCGAGCGTGGCGCTGGCAGTGGTGTTGTTGGTGGTGGTTATGGTGCTGGTTGTGGTGGTGGTGGTATTAGTAGGTGGTGAAACGCGAACTTACTTCTCGCATTGGGATTGGGGCTCCACTTCTGATTGTGCATTCCTCAGCACGTCCCTGCTGCGTTCATTCCCACACGGGTACTCGCATTTCCATTCAACAGCTCCCGCCTCTCCTTTCTCTAGCGACGTTGAGAACCTGGACGTTGCTTGAGGCGTCGTCATCGCGCCGTCTACGCGTTTGGAAGCTCAGATGTCGGCGTTGTCAGAGATTCTCCCTCTAGCGTCTCCCTTCAATAAACATTAAACCCTACTTGTCCGCGATGAGCTGTGGCGTGGTTAACAGACTTAGCTCATCTATTCAGCTAAACTCAGAGTCGTTGAGGCAATCTGACTGATAGTTTTGTCTTTGAGATGCGATCGCGTTCATATGATATACTGTTACAACGTGTATTATAATTGTAACACGAACTAGTGTTATTAATGATTATAAAAGTAGCAAGATTAGACTCCAATGGTGAAGAAAGAAAACATCTAACACTGAAAACAATGCAGATATTTTAACTGTCTACAGACTTCTACAGAGGCATCAGCACTGAGCCCTCTAGGGAGCGGGGTACTAGTCTCAGCGTGGTAGCACCACTGATTATATATATCGAGAGGAAGAGATTAACCCGCATTCAGTTTGACACCCTAATTTGCAAGGGATCAAAGACAAAGCTGAGGGAGTGAAATATCTGCTGAGCCACGTGGCATAAATTTACAACGAGGAAGCTGAAATTCTCTGTGGCTTAATATTCACAGTCGCAATGTCGTGAGTTGATATTCAAAGCAGCGTGAGGCCTTCATCATCAGTGTCATCATTGTTTATCGTAAAAACCATCAAACACGTCATCGTCATTGACATTGAGTCATTAATCATCAACAACAGCGCCATCGCCATTATTAATTTCATTTACCATTACCATCATCATAATTCATTATGATCATCACCACCATCATCACTCTCATCATCATAATCATGATTAACATCAGCATCAATTAAAATCACCCACCAGGATCATTGCCACCGATTGATTGTATCCGTGAATAACAAAAAATATATCTCAACCATTCTCTATCTACCAATAGATGAAGGAATGCCGACGTCACGTTGGTCGTGGAAGATATTTCGACCATATTACTGGTAGAAACCTCCTGGTTACACCAGCCCACAGGGGTTTATTGTGTCCGTCCGTCCGTCGTGCAGCGATGGGCTGGGTGGGGAGAGGAGGGTGGGGTGGGGAGGGGAGGGTGGGGAAGGGCTGGGTGGGGAGGGGCTGGGTGGGGAGGGTGGGGACGGGCTGGGTGGGGAGGGTGGGGAGGGGTGGCAGGGGTGGGGCTGGGTGGGGAGGGGCTGGTCACCCCGTGGTGCCCTTATAAAACTTAACGTTTAACCTACTCACGCCGGCTTGTGTCCGCCCTCACAGTCGGGAATATTTTCGGAATACACCACGCCGTCGTTGACCCTGGCCATTGACCGAGCAACCCAACGTTCCTACCAGCTCCCTCCGCAGCAATGTGTTTAACCACCACGCTGGGTCAATGTTCCAGACGAGAAGGGTGGAGGGGTGGGGAGCGGTGGTGCAGTGGTTAGCGCATTGCGCTACAAACTTGGTCACCTGAGTTCGACTCCCGCTCACGGCCAGCACCAGTGACGACTAACAGAACCGGTTCTGGGAATCCCCTAGGTCGACTCAGCCTCAAATGAGTACCTGGTGCAGTGTGTTGTAAACATCGCCACGAGAGATACCAATGCGGCCGGGCTTTGTGCTGGCTATCCACCCCCTCGTGTGCCGTGCCAGCCTTCATAGGTGCTATTTGCTAACATCACTTACCTCAACAGGTCTTTTTGGGCTACACGGGGGTTCTTTATATTTATATGGGTGGGAGGACGGGCGGAGGAGGGGTGGGAGCATCAGTTCTGAATCCTCTTGCCGCTTGACGTTCGCCGTGGTCGGGAATCGAATGCGTGGGGTCGGGGTTCGAAATAGAATAAAAAGTTTGTAAGCCGAATCAATAACACAATGAGCGCTACAGCTCCTTACCAAGGATGACTCGGCCAGAAGACAAACACGTAGCAAGTATTATAAATCAATAAGTAAACAAGGTAATGATAACAATATGATCTGCCAAACAATTATGTGCATTAACTCCTGTATCGTTGCTCAGTGCGCAATGCACTTGAGCATCGCTCCCCTGCGTGCGACCCGTCGACGGATGATTGCCACCTGCAGAGGAGGTAGTGCCCACTTGATGAGAAGACTGATCCCTGCAATAGGAATGTGGAATTTCTACCAGTGGTCCAGCATGTATGTTGAACTTCTGTCGCACCGTACGTAGCAAAGCGTGATCATCGGAGGTGCGGGGGAAGGGTGAACAAACAATACACAAAATGACGTTCTAAAGAAGTCAGCTTTAATCTAGATGATTTAAAAGTGCATTGCTCCAGTGGCTTCCTCATACCGGAAGGAAAACCATGCAGCCAGTGGGGATGGGAAAAGTTTGATTGAGTGTTTGTTATGATGGGCCTCTTGTAATCGCAGTTATATATTATACATGTAAACGTACTTACTTATTAAAGGAACCCACAAGGTATACTCGAGCGATGCTGCTGGAGTGTGAAGTACCGGTGAGGACGCTTGACGCCGAGGTTGAGGCACACGTATGTTTATTCACAATATGACAGTGGGCATATACACACTCGGGGGGGTATCGGCGCCCTCACCCGTATAACTCGGGATACACCCCTAGCTAACTCTGTCCTAGCCCCGAATCCTCCACTAATGGGCTAGGGGAGGCTAACTGGCCCGACACTGGTAAGTCGGGCCCGGTACCCGGAGTTCCAGACCAGCTCTTACAAGAGCACCGGCTCTGGCTTTCGGGACCACGCCGCTGGCTCAATCCTGTCCGGCCCTGAAAAGGACATCGAACCAGGGGAGTCCAGGGCTCTATCTAAGACGTCTTCAATCTTCTTCCCTTAGCTTAAACATAACTGCCTTGAGCACTTTGAACATCCCCTTTTATACCCAACCCCTCCCTGAGGGGTGGGGCCCCGGGGGATCATAACGTTCGAACCAGCCCCCCCCAGGGTGTCTGGCTCGGACGTCGTAGAGGGCACCTCCTCGTGCACTTACGTAGCCCCGCCCACTGTGTTTGTTTTCCATAGGCTGCCATGCATAACGGGCCCTCTCTTTAACACCCCTACATCACCCCCCCCCCCCCCCCCCGCATAGCTTGCAGCCGTCCCGGCTGCCAACATACAAAAATGACAATAAAAGTGCATTTACACCTTGACCGCGCGTGTGACTCACTAATTTTCAACAATAACAAGAACAGCAACAAGAACACAACAAAATGCAACAGAAAGAAGAGAAAACAACCCGACGCACCCCCCCTTGAATAAATACGAATTCCGTAAAAAAAACAACCTATATACAATTTGCAGGGAACCCACCATACACACAACACCAGGTGAACCCAACGTATGTACATTTCAATGGGCAGGGAACACACCACCCACACAACACACAATGAACACAACGTATGTACATTTCAATGGGCAGGGAACACACCACCCACACAACACACGATGAACACAACCTATGTACACATCTTCCGGCCTCATAACAGTCTGCGCATTTTTGCGCGCGTCCTTGCAGCGGGCCCCTCACACGGGGTAACCCCGGGTGGCGGACCGTCAGGTGGCAATTGTCCGTCCCGGAGTGAGACCTCATCCGATGCCGCGCGACCGTCGGTATCCCCAGGAGGGGTGGTCGGGCGTGAGCCCGTCAGTCCTGATGCACCTGGAGGTGGCACGGCCGGCAAGGCATTAGGTGAGAACGACGGAGATGGACCCAGTGAGTCGGTCGACCCCCCACACGTTTGGCCACGCATGTGTGAAGTGGGTTTGTGTACCGCAACGAAGGGTTTTAACCTAGAGGGGTGCACGAACCATCGCCGCTTCCCCCATTTAATGCGCACGCACTGTGGTCGCAAAACTTCGACCACCTCCACAGGGCCCCGCCACGGCCGCGCCAGCTTAGGGGAGGTAGCCAGGGGCACTTGGGGACAGTGCAACCATGCCTTGTCCCCCGGCTTCCACTGTATTACGTGCGCCCGACCCAGCCTGAGGCGCTCATTCGCCTTTTGACGGAGGTCCGAGTTTAGCATAGCAGCATCCCGCGCCTCTGTTAATTTGGCCAGATTAAATTTGACGTGGTCAGCCAATTTAGTTTTCCCTTGCGGGTCGGGGATCTGCAGCTGGGCGCGAACAGGCGGGTCGGGTTCGCGACCGTACATGAGGTAAAAGGGGGAAAATCCCGTAGCTGCATGGGGTGCCATCCGGTATGCCGCCAAGACCCCTTGAATATGCAGGTCCCAGTCAGTCTGCGAGTCCGAGACCTGTTGTGACATCATTGACGTAATGGTGCGATGCAGGCGCTCGACCATTCCGTCAGTTTGCGGGTGATACAGGGAGGTACGAATTTTCTTCGTGCCTAAGAGGTCACAGACTTGTTTGAGTAATTTACCGGAAAATTTTCTGCCCTGGTCGGTCAGCAGCCGCTCCGGAGCACCTTTGTCCAGGACGTATCTCTGAACAAAGGCCTCCACGATGGCTGCTGCCGACTGGTTGGCAAGGGGCCAGGCCATAGGCCAGCGCGTAAAATACTCGACACCTGTCAACAAATACCTATTGCCCCTGGGGGTGGCGGGAAATGGGCCCAAAATGTCCAGCGCGACAAGCTCATTTATTCTGGATACTTTGATCGATTGCAAGGGCGGGTTAGACTCCCGCGCCGGCGGTTTCCGTTGCGCACACCGAGGGCATGATCCCAATAGATCCCCAACATCCCTCGTCATACCAGGCCAAAAAAAATCAAGTTGTAGCAGTGCAAGAGTCTTTTGGGTCCCCAGGTGTAATAGGCGCTCATGCGCGGCCCACACCACCTTGCCTCGCAACTCAGAAGGGACCACCAGCCGATGTAGCTGGGATTTGCCGTCCCAATGCATCAGCAGACCTTGCACCATTTCCCATGCATCCGAATCACCCTTCACCCGCCCAGCACCCCCGACGCGACGACGCCACCCGAGGAGGGAGGTATCCTCCATTTGGAGGCGCCCCCATTCAGTGACGGGCAACCCCAACAGGGAATCTCTTCCCTGTTGTTCGATCGAATTAGTAA